GGGCCGGGGAGAGGGGGCTGTAGGGGGTGAGGAGGTTGTTGGGGGGCTGTGTGCTGGGGGGGGAGGACTGCAGGGGGTGAGGAGGGACTCGGGGGGCCTTGGGACGGGGTGTCCCGGGGAGGGGGCTGCAGGAGTTGGGGGGCAGGGGAGAGGGGGCTGTAGGGGGTGAGGAGGTTGTTGGGGGGCTGTGTGCTGGGGGGGGAGGACTGCAGGGGGTGAGGAGGGACTCGGGGGGCCTTGGGACGGGGTGTCCCGGGGGGAGGGGTGGGGGCTGGGGGGAGGACTGCAGGGGGTGAGGAGGGAGTCGGGGGGCCTTGGGACGGGGTGTCCCGGGTGATGGGGCTGCAGGAGTTGGGGGGCAGGGGAGAGGGGGCTGTAGGGGGTGAGGAGGTTGTTGGGGGGCTGTGTGCTGGGGGGGAGGACTGCAGGGGGTGAGGAGGGACTCGGGGGCCTTGGGACGGGGTGTCCCGGGGGAGGGGGCTGGGGGGGGAGGACTGCAGGGGGTGAGGAGGGAGTCGGGGGGCCTTGGGACGGGGTGTCCCGGGGGAGGGGGCTGCAGGAGTTGGGGGGCTGGGGAGAGGGAGCTGTAGGGGGTGAGGGAGGTTGTTGGGGGGGCTGGGGGAGGGGACTGTGGGCGGGGCCATGGGACGGGGTGTCCCGGGGGGAGGGGGCTGGGGGCTGAGGCGGGGAGGACTGCAGGGGGTGAGGAGGGAGTCGGGGGGCCATGGGACGGGGTGTCCTGGCGGAGGGAGCTGGAGGGGAGGACTGCAGGGGGTGAGGGAGGGACTCGGGGGGCCTTGGGATGGTGTGTCCTGGGGGAGGGAGCTGCAGGACTTGGGGGGCCGGGGAGAGGGGACTGTAGGGGATAAGGAGGTTGTTGGGGGGCTGTGGGAGGGGGCTGTGGGTGGGGCCTTGGGACGGGGTGTCCCGGGGGAGGGGGCTGCAGGAGTTGGTGGGCTGGGGGGAGGGGGCTTCAGGGGGTGAGGAGGGAGTTGGGGGCTGTGGGGTGAGGAGGGAGTGGGGGGCCCTGGGGCGGGGTGTCCCGGGGGAGGGGGCTTCAGGAGTTGGGGGGCTGAGGGGAGGGGGCTGCAGGGGGTGAGGAGGGAGTTGGGGGCTGTGGGGTGAGGAGGGAGTGGGGGGCCCTGGGGCGGGGTGTCCTGGGGGGAGGGGGTTGTAGGCAATGGGGGTGAAGAGGGAATTGGGGGACTATAGCATGGGCAGGGGGAGGAGTCCTGAGCAGGGAGTTGGGGGGCCTAGGTGGCGGGGGCGGGGCACAGAGGGAGTTGGGGGTCTGGGGTGAGGGGGGCCCCAGGGGAGTGTGGATGGGGGCTGGAGGCCTGTGGCAGGGAGGAGGGAGTTGGGGGGCTGTGGTGTGGGGGGTGCAGGAGGGGTTGGGGGAGCTGGGCAGGGGTGTGACTGGGGGAGGGGTACCAGGAGACTGTGGAGGGCTGGGAGGGGAGTTGGGGGGGGCAGGAGCAGTGTGGGAGGTTAATTGCAGTGGAAGGGTCTCGGGGGGTGCTGGGAAAGGGGGCCCAGGCCTGAGGATGTGGGGAGACTAGCTGGGGGGCCAGGCCCAAGGAAGGGGGTGTTGGGAAAGTGGGATGCCTGGGGGAAGGGTTGGAGGGCAGAAGGGCTTTGGGGGCTGGCTCCGTGAGGCCCTAGGATGAGGTGGGGTGGAGCCCAGATGACCGGGGGGGCGGGGGGAGTTGGTAAGTGGGGTGTCTAATAGGGGAGGGGTTGAGGGAGTTGGCTGGTGGTGGGGGGTGGGGCCAAGGAGCAGGATGTGTGAGAAACCCGGGAGCAATTGGGGGCACTGGGTGAGGGCACTGGCTGGTGGGGGCAGGTCTGAGGGAGTGGGGGGCAGTGGGAGGTGGTGTCTGCAGAGACGCTGCGGGGGTGCCGGGAGGGAGAGGAGTAGGGAGTGTCAAGGGGGCAGGCCTTGGGGGAGCTCTGGGGTGATGGGGCTGTTGGCTGGGAGGGTCACCGGGGTTTGGGGTGCTGCAGAGGGAGAGGACTTGGAGAGGGGAGTAGGGGCACCAGGCAGTTGGGGGGCTGGGGAAATGGAGGTGGATGTGAAGGGTGAGGGGGTGGCAGAGGATTGGGGGTAGAGGCTGTGCCTTCTGGGGGAGGCATTGGGGTGGGAGTGGAGTGCACTGGAAAGGGAGGGGTTTGGGGACGGAGGGAAGTGGAAAGGCCCTGGGGGAGCGAAGGGGAGGAGTGGGACGGAAGTGGGGCTGAAGGGGAATGTGTGGGGGGGCTGGGCAGGGAGCCCTGTGGCCAGGTTTGTGGGGGGCAGCTGGGGGTCCCTGCCCCTAGGCATGAATCTCTCTCCAGGCGTGATGTTCGATCGGGGCCCGGGTCTTTGTGGGCAAACAGGGAGTGGGGGGGGGCCTTGGGGCGGCGATGGGGACAGCTCAGGGGGAAAGGTGTGGGAGTGGCACCGATGCCCGGAGGGCTCGGGCCGGCGGGAAGCCATGTCAGGGACGCGGGCGGGTGGGCACGCAGGGTGATCTGGGTCGGGCCGGGGGATCTGGGCTCAACCCGGCTCCGGGGATGGCATGTGGGCACCGGCTCGGCGGTGCTTGGCCCCGAACCCGGCTCCGGGCTGGCATCCGCTGCCCTCCCCCAGCCGGGCCTTGGCGTTGCTGCCCGACATGGTGCCGTGTTTATCTTCCTCCTGAGCGGAGCAAGGCCGGGGCTGGGGGGCAGGAAGTGCCAACCCGGGCTACCTAGTCTTAGGGCAGGGAAAACTCCCCGACGCAGTCGGTAGGTGTTGTCCCGTGCCCTGATGGCGTCTGTTCCCCTGACTTCAGCTGAATCGCTCCCAAACTGAGCTCCGAAGGGCCCCAAAACATGGGCGCTTCGCCTCTCCCCCGTTAGCTTGGCACAACTGGGGCCATGCAGCACCCAGGCGCCCGACCATTGTATGGTGTCTCTGTGCCAAACCGTGATGTCGCAGCGACTTGCTGGGTTCCTGCCGCAATCTAGCATCTGCCGCTCCCGAGGGGAGATCGGGGGTGCCCCATACTTGCCCGTCGCTGGGTGGGTCCCCCACAAGGCTGGCGGTGACCCCGACATTCCTGGCTCTGCCCAGGCAGCTCAGAGCCGCGATATCGCAGCGCTGGGGTGCCGGCCGCATGATTCAGGCCTCGTTTCGGGGGTTTGCCCGTTGCCCTAAAAAAACCCATCGTCGCCTGGCTTATGGCAGCGCTCCGGGTCCCTGGCTGGGGCCAGACGGCCTGTGTTTCAGGGCTATGCATGGCCCGACTGAAATTGGGGGTTCCCCGTTCTTGGGGGGGGCTGGAAAGACTCAATCTAGAGAGAGGAGCAGAGCGGGGGGTGGGGCAGGAGAGGCGGGACACGGAGACCTGGGGAAGCCTCCAGAGTTCAAAATAATCTTGCTCCTAACTCCTTAACGCTCGGATTCCTCGGCCGTGAAATGCCGTCCGGCGACACGAGCTGCCCGCGCGCTTGCTGCCGGCCCGTTTCCCGCGAGCCCCTCGGGCTGCCGAAGGGCCCCCGCTGTGCGGAAGAGCCCGCCCCTGGCAGGTGTCCACGGCCGGAGCTCGGTGGTTTTCAGCTGTAACTCGGCTCGTGACGTTGGGCTGGTTTTTGTGCCCGACACGCTCTGTGCGTTCTCCTCTCGGCTGGGAGAGGCTGTCGCGGCTGGGGCTGGAGCTGCCAGTTTGCCTGTTGTTTAGGTCTCACGTGGTGCGGGGGGGGGGGGGAGGCCCCCCTGTCGGAAAGGGAAAACAAGGGGGCTGAAATGCGTGAGCTGGCAGGATGTCTCCGGGCCTGGGCCGCCGCCATCTGAAATGGCGTTAAACGGACACGCAGAATTGGCTGGCTTCCCGGTTGGTGGCAGTTCAGCAGCCCCACAGGCACGGCTCGCCTGGCACAGAGCCGCAGCTGGGGAAGAGCCGCACCGCGACCCGCGCCCTGCTGGCTTGCCGGGTGATGCGGTGCAGCCACCTCTGGGGAGGGCCAGCTGGGGAAGAGCCACGCAGTGACGCCATGTGTGGGTGGCTTGCGTGGTGCTGAGAGGCGGCCAGGTCTGGAGCGCAGGCCTGTTGGGGAACAGCGCATGTGCGGCTGCATTGGGTAGGGCTTGACCTGTGCTGAGATGCAACCGCTTCTGGGGAGGGGCAGCTGCAGAACAGCCAAACATGATGCCGCATAGCGACAGCTCTCCCGGTGCTGCAATGCGGCCAGCTCTGGGGCAGGGGGCAGCTGGGGAACAGCCGCACGTAACGCCGATAATGCCTGCTCTCCCAGTGCTGAGATGCGGCCAGCTCTGGGGCGTGGGATGGCTGGGGAACAGCTGCCTGTAACGTCGCATAACGCCGGCTCTCCCGGTGCTGAGATGCGGCCACCTCTGGGGCGTGGGGCGGCTGGGAACCACCGTGCTGCCGAGTGCTGACTTCGGAGAGTGCTCCCTTATCTGATGGGGGCAGTGTTGGGCGTGTCAGAGACGGGCTGTAACTGCTCACGCTGGAATGCGGCCAGGCGTTGGAGGCCGGGCTTCCCACTGACCTTGCGGGCCTGAAAGCTGAGCCGCCGTATTGGGCCTTATCTCCTCCTCCCTTCCCGAGAGCCCTGGCAGGGTCCCGGGGCTGGCAGGATCCAGCCTGGTTGGAGACGCCCACGCCGCTCGCCCCTCCGCCGAGGAGCAAGGCATGCTGGGCCCCGGGGCCTGCGGAAGGATCCAGGATCAAAGCCTGAGCAGCGTGAGTCATGCTCCCCGTGGGTGCTGGCTCCCGGCCGCTCCCTGTGCCCGGAAAGGAGGGGGTGGTGGAAGGACAGGCCTTCAGTCTGGGCGCCCTGAGCCTGAAGCCGGAGCCCTCCCAATGGCCCTAGCGCTTTGCTCACAACTCGGCGCCTGGCGAGGTGTTATGTGCGGCTGTTCCTGGCTGTGCCACCCAAGAGGTGGCTGCATCTTGGTGCTGGGAGAGTCATCCCCAGGTGGCGTTATGTGCGGTTGTTCCCCAGGTGCCTGCCCCAGAGGTGGCTGCATTTCAGTGCTGGGCAAGTTATCACTGCTGACGGTCGGTACTGTTGTTTGTGTGTCCAGTTGTTCAGGGTGATGTGATTTCTTAAGCTGGAGCCTCATTACTCCCAACCTTTATTCTGGGATGATAACCCTTTCCAAGGAGGGTCACGTGAATTAAGTGTCCAGTAGCTGGACTCCTAGAGTCTATTCAAACTGTGGGAGTGGGGTCTGGTGATTAGAATGGGGGGGCTGGGAATCAGGACTCCTGGGTTCTCTCCCTGGCTCTGGGAGGGCAGTGGGGGCTAGTGGTCAGAGCTAGCCCAAGCCCTGGGAGTGGGGTGTTAGTACTGGTAAACAGGCTTGGCCTGAAATGTAGAAGCTGTTCCTGGACACAGAGCGTTGTCCGCCCGAGCCCTGGGCGGAGGGGTGGGGGCACAAGCCCAGTGGGGAAACCTGACCCCCATCCAGCTGCGCTGACTCCCCCGTCTCTGTCCCCGCAGTAGCCGCTCTGCCACCGCTCCCCCAGCTCAGCGCCATGTCGGAGGGCTGGGTGGACTGCCCCACCCTGGGGCCCGGATGGAAGCGCCGCGAGGCCTACCGCCGATCCGGGGCCACCTGTGGACGGACGGACACCTACTATCAGGGGTACGGATGCTGCTCCTCCCTTGGGGGCAGGGGGAGGGGCTGGGCAGCCCCCGCCGCAGAGGGTCGGGACGAGGATCGTGTTCTGCAGAGCCACAGTGACAGCCCGTGTGGATGCGGCATGGGAGGGGACACTGAGGCACAGGAGGGCCTCAGCCTTAGCTGGTCAGAGCCAGAACTCTGGGCTCCCCTGGGGTTCAGGCACTGCCCCTGCAGCCCCCTTGCTCCCTGGATCTCTCCCCCCCCTTCCCTGGCCTGGCATCTGGGATTCAGGGGCCTCCAGCCTCGTCACGCAAGGGTGCTGGCCCTGACCCCTGCCGGCCCTGGTGCTCTGTGGGAGAGGAGCTGCCTGTTCCAGCCATGCAGCCCCCTCCGAAGACAGGGTGCGTCTGTCTGCAGCTGGAGATAACTCTGCTCTGCCCGCCCCCACAGGAAACCGGCTCCGCTGGATGGAGTCTATTTACCTTCTCCAAAGCCAGCTGGGTTATAAAGAGCAGCTTCTGCTGTGGGCCAGGACTCCTGGGTTCTCTCCCTGGTTCTGGGAGGGGAGTGGGTGTCGAGTGGGTTAGAGCAGGGGGGGCTGGGAGCCAAGACACCTGGGTTCTCTCCCTGGTTCTGGGAGGGGAGTGGGTGTCGAGTGGCTCAGAGCAGGGGGGCTGGGAGCCAGGACACCTGGGTTCTCTCCCTTGCCCTGGGAGAGGAGTGGGGTGTGGTGGCTCAGAGCAGGGTGGGCTGGGAGTCAGGACTACTGGGTTCTCTCCTCAGTCTCCCCCCCTGAGTTGTCTGCGTGTGGATCAGGGTGTGCGTCTTCCCTCCCAGCCCCCGAGTCCGTTGCTGACATGTGTCCTTTTTCAGTTAAAACCCGCATGTTAGGAAATGAAACCGTCCCCCCTCTGTCCCCTCCCCCGCCCGCCCTCGAGGCATCTCGTTCGTTCGTTGTGCGGTTCTCCCTCCAGCCGCCAGAGCCTCGGCGTAGCCACCCTGGCTGGGCCGAAAGGCAACGTAGCGCTGCCCACCCCGGTGGAGTGAGTCTCTTCTCCCCGCCCCTCCGGGTCTGCTCTTGTGTTGCATTGTTAGCCGGGTCACAGTAGTGTCTAGAAACTGGGGGGGGGGGCTCCCTGTATCCCCACAGCATGTCTAATCTAAACAGCCCTAGGAGGGCAGGAGTTTGCTGAAGGATAGACCCCCAGCGGCTGCAGCCTTGGCTTAGGGCCCTCCCCCGTCCCTGCACGCTGCCTGGCCGTGACCATGGTCCAGGGCGTCTCTCCGCCTCCCGCCCCTGGCATCCGTGAGGCTCTCAGCTGGCTAGAGCCTTCCAGGGCAGCCCAGCCGGGGCCCTCGCCAGCCTGGCTTCCTTGCGGCTTGGGCCATGCACGGCGCGTCCGGGAAATCCACGCCGGAACCGCTTCCCGCTCCCTGCCAGCCCGGTGGCGAAATCATCCTGGCTCTGCCGAGAACCAGGGGCTGGGAGCTGAGGCGTGGCCAATCCGGGTTATAAACTGACTAGTCCAAAGTGCAAGGCCGTGCCGCCGGTGGGGTTAGGAACGAGATTTTCTGCTCTGAGCCGGCATGGCTCAGCTGGGAGTGATGGCGGAGGCGACAGGGCTGGGTGGAGCGGTCGGTCGCAGGGGGCATGGGCGAGCCTCGGACGGATCAGGCGCAATGGAGAAATATTCAGGCCTCTTGAGTCACGCTTCCAGCTCCAAGGGGAAACACAAGTGGGGGGTCTGGTTGCGTCAGGAGGGAAACGAGTTAGTGAAACGAAAGCCCGTCGTCGGCCCGAGGGGCAGTGCAGGCTGGGAAGGAGAAGGTTCCCGACAGACTGTCGTGAGTGTGGGAGCAGCCAGCTGAGATCTTAGGGGGTCTCGGAGGCCGAATTAGCTGCGTAGGGGGCATGTTTTGCTGTGCGTGGGGCAGCTGTAACTGCTCGCTGGCCACTGTTTCCTTCCGCCGGCCGGTCCTTCCCTCTTAACGCCCCCTGCTTGTGGTTGTCTCCTTGGGAGCCTGGCCCCCCAGATCCCTGGAGGGGAAGATTATCCAGGCAGCGATCCTCCGAGCTGGTTTTTGTAGCGCCCTCACACCCTCCCCTCCTGCGGGGGTCAGAGAGGAACAGATGGCTCCAAATGGCTGGCTGGCACTTCATTTATCCCCCTGGCTTGTCAGACGGCTGGCCGCACCCTGGCCTGCTCTTCCGCTGTGACAGGGGAGTCGGATTCAGTAGCCATGAGTCCCCCGTGCCCCACCTCCCAACCCCTTTTAACCTCCTGTCCCTTTCACCTTAAAAGAGAATTCTTCTGCTGTGAAATTCCCAGTCTCCTGTCTGAGCCCTTCTCTTCCTGTAGGGGGCAGCGTCTCCCTCCTCCCCTGTAGCGATTGGCTCCTGCTCTAAAGCAGAGTTGAGATTGCGTCTCGGGTGCTGAGTTATTTCATCCCTGCCAGTGCCCCCTGGATTATTACCTTGTGGCCGTGAGTTCCACAGCTAACCCTGCACTGCCTGAAAAAACGGCATTCGCGAGCGAGCCTGTTCTCCCGGCTCCCTTTGGCTCCAGGCAGGAGCATCACTTCGCAGGGCTGGGTATTCCCAGCCCCCCAGACCAGGCTGGGGTGCCCTCCCTGACGCCAGCTCTGTCTCTGCCTCCCCTCCTGCAGCCCCAACGGCGAGAAATTCCGCAGCAAGATCGAGCTCACCAGGTTCCTGGGGCCGTCGCAGGACCTGACCAACTTCGACTTCAAGAACGGTGTGCTCCGTGACCCGCCCCCCAAGGTACCGGGGCGGTGGGGACTGGAGCGCACACAGGAGGGTCGGAATCCCTGTGCCAGGCCTGACCACGAAACTCGGCTGGGTTTCTTGCCAACGCAGGTGCCCCCTCGGCTGACCCGGAGCTGCGTCCCCTTTTTAAATCGATGCCCAAAACAAGTCCAGCAGTTCCTAGTTGGCCCGAGACCTCCCCATACACGATCCTGTTGCTCCCCTCTCCTCTTCCGAGGGCCTGTGCGTTCCTGCCCCTTAGGAATGCCCTGAGGTGATGAATTACCGTCCCCTCGTGCTTAGCCGGCACTGAGGGTTGGTGATTGTAGCTGTGCCCGGGGCTCCGGCAGAAACACAGGTCGCCTTTGGTCCATCTGGGTGAGACTCACAGGCAGCCGGTGACTCTCAGACCCGGAAAGGGACACGAAGGACTGATTGGAAACCCAGATCGGCCTGAGTGGGGCCGCGGTGGCACCCAAACGTGCCCCACACACTAATTTCGCAGTCCCCGGCACCTGGCGCCCACGGAAAGCCAAGCCAGGAGGCGGGGTGCGGCGTGTACCTCACCCCGCCAGTCCCCATGTGCCCGCTGGCGTCCGGCAACACCTCTTTTAGACCCGTTTTCCCTCCCACCTGCGGCCGGGGTTCATTACGTCTCACCCAGCGAGTGAGTTGTCATTAAGGTCCCCTGCGTGCCACACTGCATGTCCCGGTGGATCGGCTCCGGCCACGCGGTTGGCTTCTTGCACCAAAACTCCCTCCAAAGCGGCAACGGTAACCAGGCCTTTCGCGCTCATGCGGTTGGCTCACGTGTCGCAAGCTGCTGATTGTGCAAGCGTCCGCCCTTGGGCCAGCTGCTCCCAGTGCTGGCCGGCTGGAGGACGTGCTGCACGGCCTGCTGGGAGCGTCGGGGCCTACTCGGGTTCCGTGCCGGCGTGGCTGCCATTCCTGCTAGTGAAAACGTTTCCCGGGGGCTAGTGGTTAGAGCAGGGGGGCTGGGAGCCAGGATGCCTGGGTTCTCTCCCCGGCTCCGGGAGGGGAGTGGGGTCCAGCACATAATGCATGGTTGGGTCCGGGATCGCAGGGCCGTGCTCCGTTTCCCTCAGAGAGAAGAATTGGGGAGTTGAGGGGGGGCATCACATGGGGCCTGTTGGGGAAGGCCTGGCCAACCTCCGCATGCCACGTTGCCGGGGGCCGGGACCCCACCTGCAGCCCCACTCATCTTGCACCCCATGCAGGTGAAGAAGGTCCAGAAGAGGCACCTCTCACTGTCGGAGCCAGAACTCCCAAACCCCCCTGAGCAGCTGCCCCCCAAACAGCGACCCGTGAAGCCGGAGCCCCCAGAGCAGCCGCCCCCGGAGCAGCGGCCTCAGCCCCTCCCAGAGCGACGCCCCCGGAAGCGTCCGGCGCCCCCGCTGGAACCGCAGGAGTCTGCACAGGATGGCGTAGTGGCGTGAGTTTCTCCCAGCCCCCCTGGGGTGCCCCGTCCCCTGAGCCCTTGGGTCACAATGCAAACGCTATGGGGAGGTGCAGAGAGCCCAGCTAGACGCCTGGGTTCTGTCCCTAGCTCTGGGAGGGCAGTGGAGCCTAGTGCTTGGAGCAGCGCTGGAGGCTGTGAGCCAGGACTCCTGGGTTCTGTTCGTCCATGGAGATGTCCCAGCTTCCCCGGTCTCTCTCCCCGGCAGAGGAGCTGCCTGGCAGGCCCCCTGTCCTCCATCCCAGCCTAGCCGGGTCCCTGCCCCCCCGTGGGTAGCTGTGAGCTCCAGTGTGGGTCCTCAGCAGCCCCCCCTCTGCCTTCCAGATGCTGCGCCAGCTGCCAGAACTGCTTCCCCGGGGTGATGCTGCCCAGCCAGAGACGCTGCCGCTGGCTGTGCCCGGACTGCCGAGGTGGGTGAGCGGGGTGGGTAGCACCTGGCGGCTGGTGCCGATGGCTAGACCCCCTCCTGCTCGGGGTCCTGCTGCTCCTTTGCCCAGCTCCCTAGTCCCGCCGAGAAGGAGCCGGGCTGCGAACCCAGGTGTCCTGTCCAGACTCCGCCCCAGAGGCAGCTGCATCTCAGCGCCGGGCGAGCTGTCCCCGTGTGGCATGGTCTCTGTGGCCCAGTTGTCCCCCCCCCCCCCCCAGAGGTGGCTGCATCCCCGGGAGACTAACCTGTCTCGGGCCCAGCTGCCCTGGGGCCGCGACCTGTTGTATGGCGCGTCAGCCACTGGTGCCAACGCTGGTTGTTTCTTTCAGCCCAGAGGAGAGACTTCAACAGGGAGCAGCGGTACTTCAAGGTAAGAGCCGGGCCAGGGACTTCTGGGTCACTATGTGCAGGGGTTGGGGGTGGGTTGAGGGCCAGGACTCCTGGGTTCTCTCCTGTTCTGGGAGGGGAGTGGGGTCTGGTGGGGTAGAGCAGGGTGAGCTGGGAGCCAGGACTCCTGGGTTCTCTCCCCGGCTCTGGGAGGGGAGTGGGGGTCTAGTGGTTAGAGCAAGGGGAGCTGGGAGCCAGGACTCCTGGGTTCTCTCCCCGGCTCTGGGAGGGGAGTGGGGGTGCAGTGGTTAGAGCAGGGTGGGCTGGGAGCCAGGACTCCTGGGTTCTCTCCCCGGCTCTGGGAGGGGAGTGGGGTCCAGTGGCTAGAGCAGGTGGGGCTGGGAGTCGGGCCTCCGGGGGGCTGGGGCTGTTTCCCTGGTCCCCTCCTTGCGGGGGCGGGCGAGGGGCCGTGGCTGCGCCGGCTGAAGGCCCTGCCCCTCTTGCAGCGGGTGGGCTGCGGGGCCTGCCAGGCCTGCCAGATCCCCGAGGACTGCGGCATCTGCACCGTGTGCGCCGTGCGGGCCGAGGACCCCCAGCTCCGGATCGGCAGGAAATGCCTCCTGCGCCGCTGCCTGAAAATCGTCAAGAAGGTACCGGCCGGCGCCCCCCCGCCCCCCTCCCCCCGGCCAGCCGGCGCCCTCACTCCCGCCCCGCAGCCCCGGTCGGCGCCCCTCACTCCCGCCCTCTCCCCGCGCAGGGCTTCGGCTGCGGCACCTGCCAGGGCTGCCAGGCCACCGAGGACTGCGGCAGCTGCTACATCTGCCTGCGGAGGCTGAAGCCCGGCCTGAAGCGGCAATGGAAATGCCTGAAACGCCGCTGCCTCAAGAAGAAGGTGGGGGGCAGCTGGGCTGGGGGGGGCTGCGGAACCCTCCCCCCGGGTGGGGCGGGGCCCCAGCCTGGGGGGCTGCTCCCGACTCCCCCTCCCCAGGGCTTTGGGGGAAGAGGAGGGGCGGGGTGGGGCCCCTGACCCCCGCATGTTTGGGAAGGCTCTGCTGCCCCTTTCAAGGGGTGCCACGGTGAGGGGGAGAGCGCCCCCCAGCCCCCCGTCCCCCCAGCACCCAGCCCCCCAGCGCCCGGCCCCGACTGCCAGGGGAGATTGTCCCCTGCCCAGCCCCCCCTCCCCCAGCACCCGGCCCCGACTGCCAGGGGAGATCGTCCCCCGCCCAGCCCCCCGTCCCCCCAGCACCCGTCCCCGACTGCCAGGGGAGATCGTCCCCCGCCCACCCCCCCGTCCGCCCAGCACGGTGCCCCCCCAGCGCCCGGCCCCGACTGCCAGGGGAGATCGTCCCCCGCCCACCCCCCCGTCTGCCCAGCACGGTGTCCCCCAGCGCCCGGCCCCGACTCCCAGGGGAGATCGTCCACCGCCCAGCCCCCCGTCCCCCCAGCACCCGTCCCCGACTGCCAGGGGAGATCGTCCCCCGCCCACCCCCCCGTCTGCCCAGCACGGTGCCCCCCAGCGCCCGGCCCCGACTGCCAGGGGAGATCGTCCCCCGCCCACCCCCCCGTCTGCCCAGCACGGTGCCCCCCAGTGCCTGGCCCCGACTCCCAGGGGAGATCGTCCACCGCCCAGCCCCCCGTCCCCCCAGCACCCGTCCCCGACTGCCAGGGGAGATCGTCCCCCGCCCACCCCCCCGTCTGCCCAGCACGGTGCCCCCCAGCGCCCGGCCCTGACTGCCAGGGGAGATCGTCCCCCGCCCAGCCCCCCGTCCCCCAAGCACGGCGCCCCCCAGCACCCGGTCCCCGACTGCCAGGGGAGGTCGTCCCCTGCCCAGACCCCCTTCCCCCAGCACAGCGCGCCCCAGCGCCCGTCCCCGACTGCCAGGGGAGATTGTCCCCTGCCCAGCCCCCCCTCCCCCAGCACAGCCCCTCATCCCCCCAGCGCCCGGCACCGACTCCCAGGGCAGATTGTCCCCAGCCCCCCAGTGCCCGGCCCCGACTCCCAGGGGAGATCGTCCCCAGCACGGCGCCCCCCAGTGCCCGGCCCCAACTCCCAGGGGAGAGCGCCCGCAGCATGGCACCCCCTAGTACCGCAGCTGGGGCTAATGATCTTCTGGTGTGGAACAGAAATCGGTGGTGGCGAAGAAGGCAGGGTACGGCCCCCGGAAACTGACCGTCGTAAGTACCCGCCCTGCTCTTTGGAGACCCCGCTGCACAGCTTCCCAGCATCCCCTGCGGCCTGGGCGGTGGTGGGGGGCGGGCATGGTTTCCCAGCATGCCCTGCCACCTGTGATGGGGGAGGCATGGTTTCCCAGCATGCCCTGCCGGTGGCATAATGGGGCAGGTCCCCTTGTTTCCCATTGGGGTGGAGGCATCATTTCCCAACGTGCCCTGTGGGCCATGTGTGGTGTGGGGAGGCGCGGCAGGGGCCTGGTTGTGGGGTCTGGCCTGGCCACGCCGCCCCGCCCCGTGGCAGCTAACGGCCTCTCACCCTCTGTCTGCCCGGTGGGCGGCAGGACGGGCCCTCCCGAAACCGCCCCTTGGCCCCGCCTGATGCTGGCAGGGGCAGTCGGCCACTGCTGCAGTGCGGGGCTCAAACCCCCCTTTGTCTGCATGGGGATCCCTGCCCCCTGGGGAGCTCGCTGCCCCAGTCCAGTGATTAGAGCAGGGCGGGCTGGGAGCCAGGACTCCTGGGTTCTCTCCTGGCTGTGGCTGGGGGTGGAATGTAATGGCAGCGCCGTGGTTTGGGTGACTGTGCATCTCTCTCTCACTCCTTCCTGTCCCTTCTTCGTGCTTTCTTTCCTTGTCGCTTCCCTGCCCTCAGGACGGGCCCCCCGCCAAGCCCCAGCTCGCCCAAGGGAGGCGCCGCAGGAGGCTGCCAGCGGCTGGGCCCAGCGCTGTGAGTGGGTGCGAGCGGCAGGGAGCGCTTCTGGGAGACCGAGCCGCCCCCGCAGGGGTTGGGGGCGGGGCTGGGAGTCAGGACCCCTGGGTTCTCTCCCGGCTCTGGGAGGGAAGCGGGGTCTAATGGTTAGAGCAGCAAGGGCTGGGAGCCAGGACTCCTGGGTTCTCTCCTGGCTCTGAGAGGGGAGCGGGGGCTAGTGGTTAGAGCAGCAAGGGCTGGGAGCCAGGACTCCTGGGTTCTCTCCCGCTCTGGGAGGGGAGAGTGGGCTAGTGGTTAGAGCAGCAAGGGCTGGGAGCCAGGACTCCTGGGTTCTCTCCCAGCTCTGGGAGGGGAGCGGGGGCTAGTGGTTAGAGCAGCAAGGGCTGGGAGCCAGGACTCCTAGGTTCTCTCCCGGCTCTGGGAGGGGAGAGGGGGCTAGTGGTTAGAGCAGGGGACGGGGTGGGATTGGGTATCTGGTTCTCCGCTTGCCTCGGCCTGCGGGGCCCCCATGGAGCGGGGGGCCCGTGGCGGCTCTGCTCTGGCTCTGTCCTCCTGCCAGCCTGTCCGCGCTGCCGCGTCCTGCGAGCATCTCTTCTCTTCCTTCTCTGTCTCCGCCAGGACGGCCTGGCCCCTAAACCTCGGCGCCGTAAGAGGTTAACCCCTGCTGCCGCAGCCACAGTGAGTGCGGTGCCAACCCCCCTCCCCCTCCCGAGAGAACCCCGGTGTCCTTGTTCCCAGCCCCTGCCCCCCAGAGCCGGGCAGAGAACCCAGGAGTCCTGGCTCCCAGCCCCACAATGTTCCCCACTCCTAGAGTCTGCTTTGGAAGGGCCTGGTGCACGCAGAGTTAACCCTAGAGATGGAGGAAGGGGGGACACAGGTCCTGCTCTGGGCAGGGACTTTGGCACTCCTCCCCCACCATGCCAGGACTCCTGGGTTCTCTCCCCAGCTCTGTGAAGGGAGTGGGTCTAGTGGTTAGAGCAAGGGGGGCAGGGAGCCAGGACTCCTGGGTTCTCTCCTCGCTGTGAGGTCTCTGGCTGGTCCTTTCCCCTTGGCAGTAGGGGTGACCCAGGCTGTGTCTGGCGTGCTGGCGGCACTCTGCATTCCATCGGGGGAGGGAAAGGGGGGAACAGGAACCCCAATGTCCAGTGTCCAGCCTTGTCCCCCGTCCTAGCACTATGGGGCCTGAGCTCATCTGGGCCCCATAGGGGCTGGGCGAGCTCTGTGGCCCCTGGAGCTGCCAGCTGGCCCCTCTCCGCCGTGGGGTTGCTGTGTGCCCCTTCCTGTCCTGCCAAGGGGGCCTGAGCTGGGCCGTAGTGGTGACACAGGGGACTCCTGGCAGCCAGTGCAGCCGGATGGGTGACAAGCCAGGGAGCAGCGATCCAGCCCCATCCTCTAGTACCCACCCAGCTCAGGTTGGGTGATGGACCCAGGTGTCCGGGTCACCCTCCCCCACCCTGAATTCTGGGAGAAGAGGAGTGACCCAGGTGTCCGGGTGGTCCTCCCCAGACCAGACTCCAGAGGAGGAGGGCCCCAGACATCCTGGCCGCTGTTCCCCTCCTCTCCTTCCAGGCCTTGCATGTGTTCTGCAGACGGGACTCCGGCGTCCGGGTGACCCTTCCACCCCTCCCCCGGCCCCTCACCCTGTCTTCCCTTTGCTCCCTCCAGAAATGGAAGCCGTCGCTGGAGCGAGACCCCGGTGGCCTTTCGGGCTCCCGGCGCAGGGTGAGTGAGAGACGGGGCCGGAACCAGCTCAGAACTGCCCGGCACAGTGGGAGCCCCATGGGCTGGGGTGGGGCAAAGGCCGGGGCTGAGACAGTGAGGGGAGTGCGGTTGAGGGATTAGAGCTGGGGGGCTGGGAGCCAGGACTCCTGGGTTCTCTCCCCAGCTCTGGGAGGGGAGTGGGGACTGGTGGGTTAGAGCAGGGGGCTGGGAGCCAGGATTTCTGGGTTCTCCCCAGCTCCGAGGGGAGTGGAGTCTAGTGGTTAGAGCTGGGCCTACCGCATAGAACTGTAGAGTCTGGCTGGCCCCGAGCCCCGTCATTCCCATAAGCCGGTGTCAGTTGCCCCCTGAAGCTGTAAATCCGGGTTCACCCAGCCTGTGTTGCAGGGCTCTGTGGGGCAGGGGGCTGGGCAGCAGGGCGGCGCTTGGGGAGGAGGGATTGGAGTGGGGCAGGGCTGCATCGGCTCTGGGGCCGGGGGTAACCCCTCTCCTCTCTCCGCCACCCCAGAAACAGCTGGGTAAAGTGAAGGAGAAGAAGAAGCCGGGCCGGCCGCCGAAACACCCGAGTGTCAGGGCCCGGAGCAGTGTGGTGAGTGATACTCTCTGTGGCGTGGGGTGGGGTCCAGCAGGGGGTGCTGTGGCACGGCCAGGCCAGCGCTGTAGAGATACCTAGCGGGGTGACTGCACGGGGGGCTCTGGGAGTCAGAACTCGTGGGTTCTCTCCATGTCTCCGGGTGGGCAGTGGGGTGTAGTGGTTAGAGCTGGGAGCCAGGACTCCTGGGTTCCATCCCTGGCTAGGAAAAGCCTGGCTGGTGGTTCTGTGGCTGACACTTCCCCCAGGGCTCCCCACCCAGCCCGCGCACTGCTCTGTTTCAGGGAGTGTCTCGCCTGCGTCTCATGCCCACCGTGCCCCTCCCTCTCCGTGGGGCTTGGCCGTGGGCCGCGGAGCGCCGCCCTGTTGTCACCCGGCCCTGCCCTGGTGCCCCGCTGCCCCGGGGAGGCAGGCCTGCTGGGCTGGATCTGCTTGTGTTTCCCTGACGCCGGGCACAGCGCCCCTTGTCCACCTGCCAGCCCCCGCTGCTGGCCGGCTCTGCCAGGGCCCCGCCTCGCTCGCTGCCTGGGCCACCCCGACTCCGGTTCCCTTGGGCCTCCTGGGAGAGCTGGGCGGGTCTGTCCCGATGTCCCAGGCCGCCTCGAATACTAGGGCGGGAAGGGACGTCGGCGGGTCCAGCCCTGGCGCTGAGATGGGACCAAATGGACCTAGATTCTCCGTGTCAGGGGCTCGTGCGACCTCTTCTTAAACCCCTGCGCGGGCGCGGATCCCTAGGTCCGGCGGGGGCTGTCCTGGGGCTCTGCTCAGCTGACGGGGAGCTCCTGGCGACGCTGGGTCCCGGGAGCCAAACTCGGGTAGGAGCGGAGAGGGATTTTGCCTCTGGATCCGGCCATGGGGCAGCCCCTGCTGCGATCCTGTGGCCCGCGGTTCGAGGAGGAAGGGGGTCGATCGGGGAGGGGTCACAGGGAGGGAGGCCTGGAGCACCAGCTGTTGAGCTGAACAAAAGAAGTGAGGGGCTGGCTCGCTGAGTCAGCCCGTCTCCACCCCGCGAGGCTCTGCCTGGGTGCCGGGGAGTCGGCGCCCCAGCCCCCAGTGACGGGTCGGGGCTGGATTCGGGGAGCGGAGTTGGAAGCGGGAGATGAGTCGTCTCTAACGTGCCTTGCGTGGGCAGGAGGTGCTAGATAGCCGAAGGCAGAAGCGAGACCCACAAGGTCACGCTGTCTGAGTCCGGGGGGCCGGGCCCCCCGCCTGGGGATCGGCCGGTCCTCGCTCTGAGTCCGGGGGGCCGGGCCCCCCGCCTGGGGATCGGCCGGTCCTCGCTCTGAGTCCGGGGGGCCGGGCCCCCCGCCTGGGGATCGGCCGGTCCTCGCTCTGAGTCCGGGGGGCCGGGCCGGGCCCCCCGCCTGGGGATCGGCCGGCCCTCGCTCTGAGTCCGGGGGGCCGGGCCGGGCCCCCCGCCTGGGGATCGGCCGGTCCTCGCTCTGAGTCCGGGGGGCCGGACCGGGCCCCCCGCCTGGGGATCGGCCAGTCCTCGCTCTGAGTCCGGGGGGCCGGGCCGGGCCCCCGCGCCTGGGGTCGGCCGGCCCTCGCTCTGAGTCCGGGGGGGCCGGGCCGGGCCCCCGCCTGGGGTCGGCCAGTCCTCGCTCTGAGTCCGGGGGGCCGGGCCGGGCCCCCCGCCTGGGGTCGGCCGGCCCTCGCTCTGAGTCCGGGGGGCCGCACCGGGCCCCCCGCCTGGGGTCGGCCGGCCCTCGCTCTGCATGCCCAGGGCCCCCTCAGTGCCCCCCAACCCGCGCCGTGCGCCCCCTTTGGCAGGCCGGCGGTGTCCCGGGGGCGGGGAGGGGGCCTGTGCGCGGCCAGCCCCCCCGCGCTCTGACCCGGCGCCTCTCTCCCCGCCCGGCAGCTCTGCTCCAAGAGCCGGCGGAGCCGCAAGTGCGGCGAGTGCGAGGCCTGTCTGCTGAAAGCCGACTGCGGCCGCTGCGACTTCTGCCGGGACAAGCCCAAGTTTGGCGGGGAGAACCTCAAGCGCCAGAAGTGCCGCTGGAGACAGTGTCTGCTCTTCGCAATGGTGGGTGCCCCGCCCGCCCGGCTTGCGGGGTCTGGCTGCTCCGGGGGGCAGGGCCGCGGGCCGAGCGCTGAGCTGGAAGGGACCTGAGGGGGCTCGCCCCGGCTGGCGTGGCTCTTGTGGGCTCTGGGCTGGGCTCCCGTCCTGTCCGGCTGTGGGCGTTGGAGCAGGCCCCGGGGAGGGGAGCCAGAGCCCGTTGATTTGGGGCACGCCCCTCCCCTCGCCCAGGCTCTGTGCCCCACATCAGGGCAGCGTCTGCCCTCCCGGCCCTGAGGTCCCCGGCACTTCGTGCTGCCCGCCTCCAGCCCTCTCGTCTTGTGGCGCGGAGTTCGGCAGCCGCCCCACCCGCGGGGAGCGGGTTCTGGGCCCGGCAGAGCGTGGCTTTGTCCCTGGTGGATTCGTTTGCCTCCCGGTAGGGTGCTTGGGGCCCAGAGTTGCCGGGGGCTTAGGCGCCGAGCTCCCTGGGATGTCAATGGGAGTTGGGTGCGGGTCTTAGCGGCCGGTGGGTTCTTCACCTGCCGTTGTCGGGGCCGTTCGTCTGGGCCTGGGACGGAGTCGGAGTCAGAGCCACTGTCCAGAAGGGGCTTGTGAAACCGGACGCCTGGGTTCTCTCCCCAGCTCTGGGAGGGGAGCGGGGTCTAGTGGTTAGAGCAGGAGGGCTGGGAGCCAGGACTCCTGGGTTCTTTTTCTCTGCCTTTTTGTAAATCTGGACCCTTGATGCCAACATCATGACCAGGTGTCTGCGTCCCGCCGCACCTTCTGCACCCTCCCTGTGCAGCCGAACTCCCCCCCCTGCACCCCGCTTTCCAGGGCAGGGGGGAGGGGCCCTCCCAGCCGGGGGAGACGTGTGTGCGCGTGTGCAGGCCGGGGTGCGTGGCCTTTGTCGCTGGCTGGGGAGGAGGCAGCGGGCTCCGGGGGAGGGGCAGGAGTGCAGGGGCCCAGAGGCCGTGGCAATGGGCAGGACCGGGCCGACTCTCGCTCTCCCTGTCTCTCTCTCTCTCTCTCTTTCTTTCTTTCTTTCTCTCTCTCTCTCTCTCTCCCGCTCGCCGCCTGCCCGGCTCCGGCTCTGTCTCTCCCTCTCTTTCCCTTCCCCAGAAGCGGCTGCTGCCGGCGGTGTGGAGCCGCGGGCAGGCGGAGGAGGGGGCGGGGGCGCTGGCCCCCGGAAGGCCTGGAGGCGCAGGATCGGCCGCAGCCGCCAGCCGGCCCGGATCAAGCAGGTGGGGCGGCGGGTCAAGGGGAGCGGCCAGCAGCGCTGGGTTCGGGGCAGTGCCCTGCCGCAGGTAACTACCTCCCCCTGCCCCGCCCCCCTGGCGGCCCGCCCCCCTGCCCTGCCCTCCCCGGCTGTGGGAGCCCCCCACGCGGCGCTCCCTCTGGGGCAAAGAGACTTGCGCTTCTCTCTTTCTTCCTCCGCTCCGCCTTTCCCGCTCGTCTTTCCGGCCCGGTTACCGCTCAGCCTTGCGGGAGGGGAACCCAGGACTCCTGGGTTCTCTCCCTGACTTGGGAAAGGGAGTGGGGTCCAGTGGGTTTGGGAGGGGTGGGTGGGCTGGGAACCAGGACTCCTGGGTTCTCTCCCCGGCTCTGGGAGTGGAGTGGGGTCTAGTGGTTAGAGCAGAGGGGCTGGGAGCTGGGACTCCTGGGTTCTCTCCCTGGCTCTTGGAGAGGAGTGGGGGGTCTGGTGGTTAGAGCAGGGAGGTAGTGCGGGGGCTGGGAGTCAGGACTCCTGGCTTCTCTCCCTGGCTCTGGGAGGGGAGTGGCATCTAGTGTTAGAGCGGGGGAGGCTGGGAGTCAGGACTCCTGGGTTCTCTCCCTGGCTCTGCAGTGGCGTGGGGGGCGGCTGTCCGTGGGGGGCTCTGTGCTGCCCCCTGACGCTGTGCTCTGCCCCGCAGGAGAAGGAGCGCCCGCCGGGCGGGGAGCTGCGGTTCCTGGCGGAGAAAGGGGTCACTGAGGCGCCCGGGCAGCTGGTGCTGCTGAAGGACCGGCCGGGCAGGGACTTTGTCCTGCTCCGCGACGCCCCCCAGAGATTCCCCCTCCTGCTGCAGCACGTGAAGGAGGAGCCGGCCACACCCCCGCCCCCTGGCCGCCTGGAGGTGAGAGGGGGCAGCTGGGCCGTCCCCCATTCCCCCGGGGGCCTGGGTGTCCCCTTCAAGTGGCGCCCAGCTCGGGGCCAGTCCCTCCCCTTGGGGTGACCCAGGGGTCCTGGTGGCCTGCCCCATGCTGGGGTGAGGGCTGGAACCTGGGCCTGCATCCCCCCGGCGCCCCCCGCTGAATCTGCGGGCTCAGTCCTCTCTTCCCCCAGCAGGAGCCGGCCCCCACCCTGCTCATCTCCGCCCCGCCCCTGGTGAAGCAGGAGCCTGGATGGGACCTTGCACCGGTAAGAGCCACCCCAGCTCCCGAGAGCCCTCTTCCCTCCCAGTGCTGAGGATAGACCCCAGGAGTCTGGGCTCCCAGCCCCCCCCCTGCTCTGACCACTAGCCCCCACTCCCCTCCCAGACCCAGAGAGAGGAGCCAGGACTCCCCCGCTCTAGCCCCCACTCCCCTCCCAGAGCCGGAGAGAAAACCCAGTCCTGGCTCCCTGCCCGTGTTTCCCTGGGAGCTGCCCTGGGCAGGATTTGGGGTGCCCCCAATGCTCACCCATCTTCCTTGCAGGTGCCAGCAGGGGTGCCCCTGCGGATGGAGGGCCGGGGGCTGGCCAGGGAAGTGGTGGTTCTGGACCCAGCTGAGAAGGACGAGGAGGAGGAGGAGGAGCGCACCCCGGTGGTGAGTGGGGGTGCTGGGTGCAGGCATGTGATGGGAAGGAAGGGTGCTGGGTGGGGGGCCTGTTCCCTGAGGGCCATGAGAGAGTGGGTGAGTGGGGGCCTGTGCTGGGGTTGTTGGGGGTGGGGGGGCTGGCACTGGGGGGCAGGGGCGGTATTGGGGGCACGTTGGCAGTGCTGGGGGGCTGGTGCTGGGGAGACAAGCAGTATTGGGGGAGGGGGCAGTTCTGGGGGTCTCTGGCGCTGGGTGGCAGGGGGCAGTGTTGTGGGGGGCATGGGGGCAGTTCTGGGGGTTTCTGGCCCTGGGGGGCAGGGGGCAGTGTTGAGGGGTGCATGGGGGCAGTTCTGGGGGGGTGTGGCGCTGGAGGGCAGGGGGCAGTGTTGTGGGGTGCATGGGGGCAGTTCTGGGGGCGTCTGGCGCTGGGGGACGGGGCAGTTCTGGGGGCGTCTGGCGCTGGTGGCACCCGGCAGCCCCCCCTCACCCCCCGTCCCCCCTGTGCCCGCAGATCATGGAGATCTACAGCCTGGGGGCGCTGGCGGGGCGGGCGCCCCTGGACCCGGTGCTGCGGGAGTTCCTGGCCGAGCTGCAGGAGATCCCGCTGCCGGCCCACTGGGAGGTGCAGCCGCCCCTGGGGGGGGCCCGACCTGCGGCTGGTCCAGCGCTCGGCCCGCTCCACCATGGCCGCCACCGTCATCCACATCCGCCCCGGCCTCTTCTTCCAGGTGGTGGCGCGCCAGCTGCCCGTGCCCCCCGAGCACGAGGTCTACGCCAGCCACCCCGCCCGCCTCACCACGGTGGACGAGGTGGTGGAGCTGATCTGCGACCTGGAGGCCTATCGCCTCTGCCCCGGCTGGCCGGCCGGCTGGCACGCCGGGCAGCGCTCCCAGGCCTGCGACGTGCTGGTCTACTCGGGCTCCTGCCCCCAGTGCCGCCTGAACCCCTGGCCCTCGGGGAGCGCCGGCCCCTAGGCGCCCCCGCGCCCCCAGAGCTTCTATTTTTGACACTGGAATCGGCTGGACCCTGCCGGGTGGGGGGGGGAGAGGGTCAGAGGTGGGCACGGCCGGGGGGGGGCTCGGCACCAGTTTCTTTTCGTTGTTTGTTTGTCCGGTCTCCCCCCCACCCCAGCCGGGGGAGGGCTGAAGGGACATTTCCCTCCCTCCCTCCCCCCCCCCCCCACTGTGGTCACATGAGCGGCTCTAGCCAATGAGGAGCTCTGTCCCCCACGTCGATTTCTTCTGTGCCCCCCCCAGGCGGGGCAGAGGGCTCCTTCCTCCTGAGCCCCCCGACCCCTTCTGCAGTGACTTGGGGGGCATGGATTTCAGATGTCATCTTAATTGCTTTAAAACCGCCCCCGCCCCCCATTGGCCTGGGTCTTCCCCCACCCTTTGTGGGGGGCAGACGCATGCTGGCTTCTCTCCCCCCAAGTGATTGCTTCATCTCCAGCATGGGGGGGGGTCGATCCCCTTTCTTTCTTCCCCGCCCCCCAGTTTAGGTTCCTGTTTTAAAACTTGAATTCTTTGTTGGTGGCGATTTTTCTGCTGCAGGTGAGAGGGGACAGCCCCCGGGGGGGGAGGTTAGAGGACATTGGTTGCTCTGAGGGGGGGGTAGAGCTGGCCCCATGCTCCCCCCCCCCCCTTCCCCCCGGCAGTCCGAGGCTAGTGCTAATTTCAGGGAGTTTCTGCCGAAGCCATAGCTGCATCCTTGGTGGGGGACGTCTCCCCCTCCCCTCCCAGTGGCCGGGGGGGCAGGGTGTGAAGCACAGATCCCCGCCCCCCACCCCCTGTCAGGGTTAGTTCTGTTCCTCCTCTTCCCGCCCCCCCGCACAGAAAGAAAAAATGCGAAAAAAAATTCACCCCCCCCCCCCCCAGAAACTTGTCTCTATTTTTTTTATGTATTAAAAGTTTTAATGAGTAGATGAGGGCTGGGTCCTGCCTCTGCTTCCCTTGGGGGGGGGGAACGGCACCCCCTCCGGGGACACGAAAGCATTACCCCTGGGTGGGGAGGGGGGCCATCTACCCTGGTGTCCTTCCTGGCACCCATCAGAGGGGTCCTAAAACTGAGCATAGCTCAGCGTGGCTATAGGTTGGGCGAGGGGCAGGGTAGGAGGAGTACAAGCCCGATGGGGAAACTGAGGCAGGTGCGTGGATGGGACTGCCCCATGATCAGGCAGCCAGTGACAGCCCAGGAGAGAACCCAGGCATCCTGGCTCCCAGTCTCTTCTTCTTCCTTCCCCCCTCCTCCCCAACTCTAACCACCAGACCCCACTCCCTTCCCAGAACCGGGGAGAGAACCCAGGAGACCTGGCTCCCAGCCCCCATCTGATTCAAATGCCCCTTCCCGTGGATGTGGTGCCCCGGCCGTGTTCTTGTTTGGCCAGCACTCTTGGTTCAGGGGTTCAGTGTTTATTGGGGGGGGGGTGGCACAGCCCCTGTGAGGCCAAGATGGGGCTGGGATCATCCGGCCCCCAGGGTGGCTTTTGCAGTGGGGCCTGGGGATCCTTCAGGGCCTTTGCTGTCTAGCCCCCTTGAGCCAATATCCCATCCCCATGCGAGTCTCCCAGCCCACCTGCCATGCCCTGCCCCTCTGCCAGCCCCACCCCTTTTCCTGCTTCCTGGCCCTGTCCCCTCCATCTGCCATCCCTTCCTGTACTTATCTATCCTCCTATCCTGGTGCACCCCAATATCTACCCTCAGCTGCCGCCCCCGTCTATCCCTCCATCCCATATCTCCCCCGCCCAGCTGCCCCTCCGGCTGGCTCTGGACACTAGCATCCCCTGCCATGCAACCTCCAATCCTTCCCCCTGCAGTGAATCAGCCACTCGACCCTCCCCGAGAAGAGCAGAGAGCGAGTTGGGGGAAGAAGGGGCCAGCGGGCCGGTGCCCTGGCCCTGCCTGTGGCCAGCTGGATGGTTGCGGCTGGCCCTGGTGGAGAGGGCAGGCGTGGCAGAGAGGGGTGGGTGGCATGGGACCAATGTTGGGGCGACTGGGAGGGGTGTATTGGTTTGGGGCGGTGGGCTGGGAGCCAGGACTCCTGGGTTCTCCCTGCTCTGGAAGGGGAGTGGGGTCTAGTGGTTAGAACAGGGGGGGTTGGGAGCCAGGACAGATGAGCGGCTGGCTAGAAGCAAGGGCTGGAAGGGGTGGCATGGCCGTGCTGCGTGGGGGTGGGGGTGGGCCCCCACGGGGTGGGCCCCCACCCCTCTGCCCCTCTTACTGCTGCAGGGGATTCCACAGCCCTTGGTGGCCCCTGGCGCCTGCCCGTCCTGCCCCCAGGACACGCTGTTGATCTGGAAGAGCCCATAGGCCGTGCTGCACCAGGCAGACCCCGGCGGGCGGGGAGGGTGAGGCCCCTTCCCAGCCGACCCCCACTACGGGCTAGATCCACAGCACCCCTGCTCAGCAGCTGCCTAATCCTGGAGGCGCCTAACTCCCCTGGGTCCCCGCCCTTCACTCCACCTCCCCAGGTCTAGATTGAGCCGGGAGCGCGTGAGCTGGGGGCAGCCTTGTGCCTAGTGGTTAGAGTACGCGGCTGGCATGCAGGAAATCCAGGGTCGTTCCCCCCCACGCCTGCTGCAGAGAAGGGATTTCAAACGGGGGAGCCACCCTGGCCGCTGAGCCAGGTGGGGTGGCCTCCGTCTCTTGTATAGCAGAGGGGGCCCCGGGGCAGGGGGAGAGGGCTCTGGGTCCCCCCCGAGCAGCTGGCTGGGAGTGAGTCGGCCCTTTAATTCTCTGCGTGGGAGCCCTTTGGGGAACCGGCCCCGCCAGCCGTGGGTAGATGAGGGGAAGGGGGGGTCAATGGGATGGTGAGGGGGCTGGGACTCTCCACTAATAATCGGCCCCCCATCTCCTGGCGAAGCCCTCCAGCCCGTACTGCCGGAGGATCCACACCAGCTGGCACCGGGGAACGACGACACCCCGGCAGCCGGGGGGGGCGCCGCGGCCAGCAGGACCAGGAGAAGTGGGAGCCCGAGGGGGTCAGAGCAGCTGCTGCGGGGCCCCCCCTTTCATCCCGGCTCTGGGGCAGGGAGTCCAGGCCTCCTCCCCCCCGCACACCCTGCAGCTGCCCAGGTGTGTCTGTTCCCATCAGCCGCTGCCGCCCCCCGCGGTAATTCAGGTTGCGTCAGGGACTCCTGGTTAAAGGCCGCCTGTTCCCAAGGCCGCCGAAATCCGCCATTTTCAGCGGAGCCCTTTGAAATGTGGGGCCCCTCAGGAGGGCGCGGGGCCAGGCCAGTGACCCTGGTTTGGGAGCGGTTGCGTGCCGGGCGCCGGTGATCTCGCCCGCCCCGAAAGAGCCGTTTCCCCCAAAGTTTCTCGGTGCATTGGTTTTGTGCTCGTTTTTAACACGGTGGCTGGGCCCGGGCCGGAAAGGGGCTAGCGGGTTTCCACACCCTCTAGAAGCCAAATGATTACTCGGCTTGACTTGAAATTTGGTGTGGCTCACAGGGGTGTTGGAGAGCCAAATTTGGGGTCGTTAGACTCAGGGGTTCTTGAGTTACAGCCCCCCCCCCCCAACCCAAAACTGGTTTCCATCTGCTGCCAGGTGCTGTTAAACTGAGAGGGCGTCATGCCTGGGTGAATTGTGGCCCTCATTGAGATGGAGAGCCGGGAGCTCACCCTTCAATTAACTTATGGGTAAGTTAAGCACAAGGCCCCAACCAAGATAAAGGTGTTTGGGGGCCGAGGCCTTGTCTCCACTTCAGACTGAGGTTGATGCAGGCGCGTGGGTGCGAGATACAAGAACGGCCAGACTGGGTCAGGCCAAAGGCCCATTTACCCCAGCATCCGGTCTGTCGACGGCGACCAATGCATCAATAACTTCCTTTACTGGGGCTTCTGTGGGATCTGCCCAATCATGGCTTTGTGGGGACGCTGCGGAGTATGGTGCTGGCGGGTTTGAGATGCTTCTTAGCTTGGAACCCGCAGGAGGGCGAGGGTGAGAATATAAAGAGTCCCCAAAGGGTCCTGAAGCCAAGCGCCGGGTGTGTGACGGCAGGGTAGAAAAGAGCTGGCAACGTGCCCTGGGCTTTGGGGCCGGCCGCTTTCCTGTAGCGGGCTCGACTGGCTCGTGCTCCACAGGCGAGCTTTGTTTTCAGGGATCGTAGGGGCAGGTGCTTGTGCCGCTAGTCGGAGCCTAAGAGCTCTCGCTGCGGTGCTGTACGGTTAATGATACTGACGAGCGCTAAAAAAAGCCGGTCTCTCTCTCTCGTGTGTGACCAACCACCAAGGATCAGCTGCCCAGAAGCGAAAGAAGCTGTAGTAGTAATAAATCACGTAAGGGGAATGAAAAAGTTCCCCAAAGGTAATAGGTCGGGCTACACCACTAATTCCGACCAGCAGCGTGTCTTTCCCTGTTCCACAAGGCAGGAGAGCCGATGGCAAACCCCCGATGTTAGCACAGAGTCAGGGTTGGTTGGGGGTTGGTCATGCCCTTGCAGGACAGCTGCGTGGAGCATAACACAAATCTCTGCAAGCTGGGAAATGCACAGTTAAAGGTTGCCCCTGTCACCTTAACTCTGCCCTCTTTCGGCACACCCTGTTAACACGTGTGCCTTAAGTCTGCCAGCGTCACAGTGGCTGAAACGTACACGCTCACCTCCTTTTACAATCTGTTTGCATTGCCTCGTTGTCAGCTGTTTGGATTTTGCTCAATTCCCTGTTCTGCAAGGGGATGACATACCTCCAAGCAACCTCACCTGCGTTAGTGTAGCCACGTAGACATGACCAGGGTTTGGGAAGGGAGTGGGGGCTAGGGGGTTAGAGCAGGGAGAGAGGGCTGGGAGCCAGGACTCCTGGGTTCTCTCCCTGGCTCTGGATGACCTTGGGTAAGTCTTCCACCTGTTCTGTTTCTCCACCTGTCTCCACTGCGAAATGGGGAGATGTCCCTGGATTGTCGTTCCCCACCCTTGCCCTCCCACCTGCCACGCCTGGGGCATGAGCTGGCAATGGGCACCCGCCCCATGCCACCCCCACACCAAGCTGGGGGGAGACAGGCCGGTCTGTGAGGGTGGGAATGTTCCTTTCCTGTTGCCACTGCCAGGGGAATCCGCCCTCTGTCCCCGCTGCGTCCGGTTCTGGTGCCTTGCAATTCAAGATCAATCCGGGAGGGGTCAGAGAAGAGCCACGAGAATGATTTGAAGGGCTAGAAACCCTGCCTGAGCGCGAGAGACACCAGCAGCTCCAGCTATTGAGCTGAACAAAGACGGCGAAGGGGTGACTGGATCCCAGCTGTACATACCCCACGTGGGGGACAAATATTTAATAACGGGCTCCCTAGAAAGTCTAACGCGATCCGATGGCTTGAAACCGAAGCTAGACAAATTCCGGCTGGAACTAAGATGTAAATCTTTACCAGTGAGAGGAATTAACCATCAGGCCAAATTCCCAAGGGACACGATGGATTCTCCAGCCCTGACCATTTTTAAATCAAGCTGGGAAGTTTTTTCCCTCAGAGATCGGCTCTAGCAATGACTTGGGGGCAGGTCCCTGGCCCGGGTAGTACAGGGGATCAGGCGATGCTCACAAGGGTCTGTGCTGGCGTGGGAAGCTGTTAATCCAGAATTCAGCTTCGTTTGTTGCCAGCCAGCATCCGGAAAAGGCAGCGAAGATCAGTTCGGAAATTTCCCCGGTGGCTGGGCCAAACCCAGCCCCGGCTCCTTTCCCAAGCGGTGACGTTGATTAAAAATGATTCCGACGAGGCAGACGCCCCCGGCTGGAAGCAAGCGGCGTTGCCGTGCTCTGCGGTGTGCAGCAAAGTGGCAACTGGACCCTCCCGGCTCGGCGGGGGCCTGATTTGCCGCGGAGGGACGGGGAAAACAGGTGACTTGCAGCGGTTTGAGTGGAATTAAGGTCCGGAAAGCCCGCGCGGCGGCCCATGCTGAGATTTGTGAGCCGTTCCTCTGACTTCTGTGAGTGGATTTTGTCGGAGGATTCACTTCATCCCCCGTTGAGCGAGGGAGAGAAACCAGCGTCTGTTCCATAGTTTCGCTTGATGTTTATTTTTATCGAGTTGCATTTCCCCAGTTGCACAAAATTAGGGCGTTTAAAGCATTTAAAACTTTTTTGACTGATTTTCAAATTTTCAGTTACGGCAACTTCGGGGGTGGGGGGCGGGGAGGCATGTGCCAGCCACTCGAGGGGCTCAGGGAATAAGTATTTAATTCGCGTAGCCGTTGAGATCCATAAAGACTCATGCAACCACACAGGCTCCATGTCACAACATATAACTGTCCGTCAACCACCCGCTGGGACGTTCCCCGGCAGCGTTTGTTTCTTGCGTTGCTGA